CTGGCCCCTCCTTCAGGGAAGGCTTGACAATCAGGGCTGCATTTGTCCTCTGAAGAGGGGTCTGCAGCCTGGAGGGACTGGAGAACACGTGGGTTTAGATGCGGCATCTCTACTCGGTCCTTGGACAGGAACCTCCCAAGCGGGAGCAAAAGTCATGGTCAGGAGACCAACACAGCCAGGGCCTCAGTGGGGCCACTCCAAGATGGATATGGGAGAGAAGGGGGACTGGGGTAATCCTATGGGACCATTGGGAAAAGCACCTCTTTCCCTGTGTCCAGGAGAGGGCGCTAGAGGAGACTCTCAACTTGAACTGACTGGCCTGGTGCTCACACACACACACACACACACACACAAACACACACGCGCACACACACACACACACACACACACACACTGACATCTGTCCTCCACACCAGGAAGGTGTGGCTACCAGCTGCTATGCAACTTGGAGGGAGTTGAACTCCCCTGGGGAAAACGGGTCCCCAGTAGCTCTCCTCCATGGAAGCCTGACAGCAGCCAGACTGCCCTGTCTCCTTGGAGGGCAGGCTGTCCTGTGGAGAGCGCTGCACAGGGCTCAGGACCGGGACCTGGGACCAGGGCTGCCACCTGTCCCATGTGACCCTGTGCAAGTCACTAACCCTCCCGGGCCTCAGTTTTCCTCTCCTGTGAAAGGGACACTCATTCCTACCTCAAGACTTTTCAGAATAAAACGAAAGAATGTGAACTTTATGCAACTGACACGTGTGTTGTGGTTGCTGGTCCTCAAGTTCTTTTCAAGTTATAATACTGTGTGTCATATTCTATGTTTTCAAAGCCTGCTGGACCCCACTTCTCTGTTTTGTCCTGGATTGTAAGGGGAAAGGGAGGGCAGAGGTGGACATGGTCCCCAGGTGTTGGGTGCAGGACCCAGGTAGAGGCCAGGGTGTGCCCTAGTGTCAGGCAGGGTGGCCACTGTCCCTGCTTGCCCAGGATCAGGGCTCCTGGGCCAGGCAGACCCGCACACACTGCCCATCCATAGAGCCTGCTCCCACATGACCCCGTTCCAAGGAAGGACCCAGCACCTAGAGGAGGTTCACACCCGGCCCCGAGTTCCCAGCTGCCAGGCGCCTGGTGGCCTCATTGGAGCTCCAGGCCTCTGGGACATCCTCCCCCAGGTCCCAGCATCTCATTTCCATCTTTCTCTCTCAACCTTGTCCCCGAGCTCCAGGGGACCAGGTCCCAGCAGACCCAGGGCAGGGGTGCAGGCAGGGCCGGGTGTGAGTCAGCCCAAAGCCATGGCTGCCTCAGCCGGTGAGAACCGAGCTTCCTGAGCCAGGGGCTGAGACAGGGTACCCTGCTGGGGGTGACTGTGGTGGCCAGGGGAAGGATGGACACAGAGTCCCTGGCACCATTGGCACGTTCCGATGATTGAACTGAGGAGCCGGCAGGTGGGCTTGCTACTTTCCACTGTGAGGTCAGCAGGCAAGGCGAGGCTCCCAGCTCTTGCAAATGCTGCACACCCTGTGTCAGGCAGTCAGTGGGCATTCAGCCGACCTCCCCCTCCTCCTGCAGGGCTGATGGACTCGCCCCAGTGCTGGGAGCAGGGAAGGTGGAACGCCCTCCCCAAGTGACCCCTCCCAGGGCAGCCCACCCCCTTGAATGGGAAGCAGGAAACCAAGGTCCTGAGGGGCAGCCTGTCCTCAGAGGGCAGCCAGAGCTCCCTGGTGCCCGAGTGCTGCTCCCGTCCATGCCTGGTCCCAGCACTGTGTCCCCTCCCTCACCAAAGGCCAGTCTCTGCCTCTGGAGTCTGCCCCTGCCAGCCCAGCTGTCCACACTGGGCATGTGCAGGGCTCTCTGAACTGGTTGTCTGTCTAGTGACTATAAGCATCCGTGACAATGTTTTCCTGTAGATCCTCTAATAACAGATTCTTTTCTTTTATATTTTAATTTTTCAGTTCCAGTTTGCATTCCGTGTGATTTTGTGTTGCTTTCAGGTGTACAGCATAGAGGGGGACAGTCACATACTTTACAAAGTGATCCCCCAGCATGTCAGTGCCCGCTGGCACCACACCCAGTGACTGCAATATTATTGGCGAGGTGCCCTGGTAGTCACAGGGATGTAAAGTACAAATTACTTTCTAAAAGCGCTTGGTTAGTATGGTCTTTCAGCAAAGGCTTAAGGAGTGATGATAGTGGCGGCTGGAAGCTGGGGACACAGAAGGCAGAGACCCCCTTTCTGCCTCTCCTCTCCTCCTCCCGCACCCATCTCCTGACCCCCCAGGTCTGTTTTGCTCTCCCACTCTTGCCAGGGACCTGCCCTGCACCTCCTCCCCTGGAAATGACTCTCCACCTCCTCCTGCCCTCCAGTCCCCACAGGACACCCCAATTCCCAGCAGCCAGGGCAGGAGGCCTCTGAGCACTGTGGCCTCCAGAGGGTCTCCTGCCTCCATCACTCACCCTCAGCCTTGCTTTTCTTTTC